TCTTCAAGAGCTCAGTGACGAAGTAGGTACCCTCAAAGTACTCATCAACAAACTGCTCGAAACCACCATCAATGTGGCGATCGAGATAGTCAGAGAGCATGGCACGGGGGATGCCCTCCATACCAGCGGACAGCTTGGCAGTGTTGATCTCAAAGTGGAGACCGTTGAGGGTCTCGTGCCAGTCGACACCGAAGCACTTTTCGTCGCGGACATAGACCTCGCGAGCCATGATGGGGAGGTAGTGTCCATAGCCGTGGGTGACGTAGATCAAACGCTCTGCCGTCGAGAAACCCTTGATGTTGCCAATAGAAAAGCCAAGGCTAACGTGACGCTCGTAGTCGGCCTTCCAGTCTTTCATAAAGTAGGCAATGTCCTTGATGTCAATGCGCGTGCACGGAACCTGCCAGAGACGCGCATGAGATGGCTGGCAACCAGCGCACGGATCACCCTTGTCACAAGTCTTCTTGAGGAACTTGCATCGCAGGCATGCACGGAGCTTGCGGATCTCGTGAGCTTGCTGTCGCTGATCGGGCCTGAGAGGGCCACGTCTCCTGCCAACACGCTTCTCGCCAGTGTTGTCCTTTTTGTTGGTGTGAGCAGGCGTCTTCTTGACAATGGTCTTGGTGGGCTTTGATCCTGACGCAGTCGTGGGCGACTTCCTGCGGCGGGCTGGTGGGGAGCTGACTGCCGACGAAGTTGGCGAGGCAGTGTTTGACGACGATTGCTTGATGACAATTGGCTCTACGCGAGCCATGGGAGGGCTCACAGACTGCGTGGGGGAGATGTAGCTGGGGAAGTCGTGGTCACTGAGCGTGTATCCGTGACCGTGGCTGCAGTGATCGGAGTGCGAGTGCGAGTGGATGAGGTCTAGGGTGTTGTCGGTCTCTGACTGGGGCGAGTGCATGGGGAACTGAATCTCCTCGAAGCTGCTAAAGGAGTGAGCTGAGCGAGGCACGTCAGAGTGATTTGAGGTGGATGAATCCGAGCCCGTGCGAATGTGGAGCGACTGGGCTGGGTTGAAGATGATGGCAGAGTTTTCAGAGTAGTCGTACGAGTTGCGGTGGTTGAAGCCGATGTCGACCCAGCCGTTGTCACTGCTCGAGAGCGAACGAATCTCCATCCAGTTTTCGCCCGGTGAGCCAGTGGAGACGCTGTTTGCAGTGGCGGCGTTGGAGTTTGTGGTGTAGTCGGGCGCACTCGAGATGTTTGTGAACTCGCTCTGGAAGTCTGCCATCTGGAAGGGAGCAGTGGTAAGAGTGGGAAGCTCCATGCTGGTGGTGGTCATGAAGTTCATGGGGGCCATGGACATGGAGTTCATCATGACATGCGAGTTGATGCCAAACTCGACAGGCGACGTTTGCAATGGCCCGCCGTACGAGGCAGTGAAGTCGGGGCCCATGGTCATGGCGCCCTGGGCATATGTGTCGTGGGTGAAGGCGCTGTCGGTGTTGATGTTCATCCAGGTAGCCAGCATGGGGTTCATGGGTTGCATGGCGGCGGGGAAACCAAGGCCCATGTTCTGGTGGAGAGGAGTCATGCTCGTCGAACTCACATGGGAGCTGTGTGTGCTCGAGGCGCTGGAGTCGGTGATGCGTCGCTGATGGTGCTGATGCTGTTGCTGCGACTGCTGCTGCTGGGGCTGCTGCTGCTGCTGGCTAGCATCGTGGTGCTGTTGTTGATGCATACTGCCGGGTGAGATGGGCAGCGGCCAGGTTTGCGGGAAAGTGAAGGTTTGTCGGTTGGGGTCAAAAGATGGGTCGAAGGTGCCGTCTACGCCGTAGATGGCCCCGTCAAAGTCGAGGTGTTGGTTCTCCATGTTTGCACGGAGAGAGGAAATGGGTTCGAGTCTTCTCAGCCTCCGTGAGCTGGTAGTAAGCGGTGAAGGACGGCGGGCGATGGGCCGACCAGAGTGTAGGCGGGTGATGCCAAGGCCTCACACCGCTTTTTGTATGCACTCGCAGCCCCACACCCCAATGGCTCGACTAGATCTGCACCTGGCTGGGATAGCGCCAGAAGCGCTGCAGCGGTCCGCTCGATTCGCAATCGAGGGCAAAGGAAAACCCTGATGAGCGGCGGCGTGGGCGAGGGTTCCCAGACTGGCACACCCGCCAGACGAGCGCCTGTCGAGCCAAAGCCGCCGCCAGCTGTAGCAGTAGTATAGTAGTAGTGGAGAGAGGACGGCGCCTGGTAGTGGGCAGTGGGCAGTGGGCAGTGGGCAGTGGGTAGGCGAGAGAACGACTGTGCTGTGTGCTCGCCCAGCGACACGCTCCACCTGCGCGCCTCGTCGTTACATGATAGGCACTAGGACTAAGTCCTCCTCCTACCACCAGCTCCGCCTCTCGGCCGCTGGCTGCTGGCTGCTGGCTTCTGCCCGCCTGCCTCACCACCCTCGCAAGCTGACGCCTCGCCCTGCCGCAGCCTGCCTGTCGCAATAATGCCCTTCCCTGCCTCCAGGCCGTCGCCTGGCAAGACAACAACCCCGCCTGCGATAATGCCCCGATAAGCGTTAGACTCTCGGGGTCCTGTACCTAAGTGCTACCATGGGATCAGCATGCCGAGAGCGTTGGGCATGCCGCAAAAAGCAACACACAAAAGAGGCCCTTCCTCTGCCTGTAAGTATTGAACACACTCGACCTGCTGCTGTCTCTCCATGGCCAGCTGCCCGTGCGCCCTTGATCCGACTGCCTCTCTGCACGACCAGTCCGGCATGCAGCCAAGCGACTCGGCCTGCGCTACGCTCGGTCATGGGCGCATCTAAGCATCTCGACCGACACCAAAGCCTGTGGAGCCACTCGACACTGCACTCGACCAGGTTCACCAATTTGCCTCCCGGGCTCGACCTGGCCCCGACAAGATACTTACAACCCAAACGGCACGCTGCCCTCCATGTAAACACTCACCGACACCACTTGTTGAACGCCTCACAGGGCATGTCATCGTCATCGCCTCAATTGCTCTGCTGCGACGCGAGCTATCTATGGCCGTCATGCCCTGCTAACCTCCGCCCGCTGAGCCCACTTCCCGGCCGGCGGCCCTCGTGCTTGCAGCCGCTCGTTACTGCTCTAGTATCTTCTGCATGCTGTCAACTCTCTTCTGCGTAACATCGCTTCCAGGCCTGTTATTTTGGCCCTAATGTCTTGCAGCCAACCTATCCATTATTGCCGCCGTTTCAGCAATTGTGTCATCCGTCCTGCTCCGCCGCCATATCGCCGCCAATCCAGCGACAGCCAGAACAAATAGCCATCCTCGCCTGCACTTGTGCGTCTACTACCTTGCCATCACCCTTGCTGTACCATGCCGGCAAATCTCCGTCCAAACTCTCCTCACTGCATCCGTCATAGGTCGACACTTAGTTTCGCCATTGTCTGACGGTAGGGCTTGTTGCCCACACTTCGCCATTCTCTCTACAACAGAACTCAAGATCGGGTCTTGTGTCCGGGGCATAGCTGGATAACACATCTTGCAGCGCTGATCCAGGATAGTTGGTGGCGCCGTGGGGCTTGCTGACGTTCCTCGTTATCCCACGTAGCAGTGAATATAGAGTAGTATGTACCGACATACATATCTAGGTACTTTAGAACAGACGAGAACAGTTGGCCAGTCCGGATTTGTATAACGCAGGCTAGTTGCGTTGAAATTGCGTGGGTTTGACCCTTGTTTGGCTCGGTTAGGAGGACCGACTATGGCGACTTTGGTGGAGACGGCGTTGCACTGCGCTGCGCTGCGCTGCACTGCATGTAAGATGGATCCTGCCAACGGTCCTGGGCACATTCAGCTTCGGTAAATCTAAACAAGTAAGTGCTGCATCTCATTGCTTCTTGCATGACTTGTCACGGTTGTAAGATTACAAGCTGCCATGGTTGGCGGCTGTGAGACCTTATGGGCAACTCATGTTCTGGTGGCGTTGGGAAAGAAGAAAGAAGACAGTGGTTGATAGGCTCAGACGTAAGGGGTTGCACGAAAGAGGTGTGATAGAGATGTGTGGAGAGCAAATCGGTAGCGATCAGGGATGACCAATCTGGCTCGCCCCACGGGTGACTGATAGGTGATAGGTGGTGATGGTGAACTGGAGGGTCCCTTCCTTCCCACTCAACATACAGATACGAGACCTGCCTTGTTCACTTCATAATCACCGACTGTAAGCAGTCAATCAACATACGGAACCACCTTCATCACTGCAGTTCAGCCACGTGCCGACCCTGACCGGATTGTATATCATATTGAGTTTGTTTGTGTTACAATAACTTCCACCACATGCCAATAAGACAGCCCAACAACAGATAGAGACGTGACCGGTGATCCTTCTCAAGTTGACCAAAGAAGCACCGTCTGTTCTACCAACTTGGCTATGCACCTTACATGGAATCAATCCCCAACTCCAGTTTCACGGCACAAACGTGTTATTGCGCCACGCAACATGCTTTGGGCATTACGCACCTTCAGGCAGTGTTGCCCCGCACATTTCGTCGTTGCGGGGTAGTGGCGAACCAATGTTCTCAGCAGTGATGAAAGCGAAGCAAGGCTGACTGCCGCTGAAAAGTCTATGTTACGTGTATCCAATGGGAAGAGCTGAGTCCGTACCGAGTCCGGGAAGCACTGCGTGTAGCTGGCTTTACCGAGAACGCAACAGGTGATGATGTCGCATATGCACGTTTTAATAAAACGATAAAGACAAGGCCTTTTGGAGACAGAGTCTGAAGGCCGGAACGGAGCGACGATGATCGCAAGCAATCGCAAGTCCATCTTCCGTAGATTTCGGAGTATCGGGGGGAAAGTTACACAAAGCACAGTCGGCCTTCGGCTCCACGCGCAATCCCCCATGTCCCGAGTAATGCGGGCAAAGTTGGAGCATTTAAACAAGAATCAGAAACATAGCAAATGCGTGATCAAGAGACGCTCATACTACACAGATTCAGACAGCCAATCTGAGTTTGCTTTGCCTTGCATCAGAGAAGCAACAGTTACTTCTTCATCACCTTAATTTCCACGAACAGCACAACATGGCACACGTCGGCGCACTGCCCAAGATCCACCGTTATATCACCAGCCACAACGATGAAGGCAAAGCCATCTTTAGCAATGCCTTCGACGATGAGAGCAAGATGAAGCCCAACTCGGACGGTATCGCATTCGCCCTCAGCTACACAACAAAAGGCTTCCCTGTCGATATGAACAAGGACAAAGACCTTGGCGTATACGGCGACTACCTCGATGACGCACCAGGACTTGTAGTCTCTGGCGGGACGGTCTTACGACACGTTGATATTCCTCCTGCCACAGAATGCACAATGCACCGGACCGTGAGCTTGGACTACGGTTGCGTACTCGAGGGGGAGATCGAATGTCTACTCGACAGCGGCGAGAAGCGCTTCATGAAGCGGGGAGATGTCGCGATTCAGCGCGGGACCATGCACCAATGGATCAACCATAGCCCGACTGAGTGGTGTAGGATGCTTTTTGTATTGCAGGAGTGTCAGCCATTGAAACTTGGTGGGGAGACGGTCGGAGAGGAGTTGGCTGGTATGGCGGGTGTGCGGCCTTCTGATTAAGATTAGCAGCTTTGTTGTACGCGTGAGGTTGAAATTAGGATATGGGGCTTGGATAAGGAATCGCGGATATATTGCTATCGATATCGATATGGGCTGGGCTTCGAATCTGGAGTGCCAAGCTAGCTAGTACTATCCAATCTGATTACTCCCCACGTGCTCCACCTTTTCTTCTCGACATGCGACATTCAAGAAGGGCAATCCTTGACCACAGTCGAACCATGGGGTTTGCACACCAACACAGATTGTGAAATCTCCCGTCCAACTGGTGGGGTGGCTACATCCGCACTCGAACAATACTAAGCGTTCCTGGCTAGCAAAGCCATTGTTCCTGCCAGCCACTCACGGAAACCCCAACAACGGACCTACCAGATCTATAGATCTATACGCGCATGTAAAAAAGTATGGCGCTCCCCTTACGTTTCTCTGCACAAGAGCCCTCATCCCGCTTGGAGGAAATCGTTCCCGAGTCTAAGCGGATTGAAGAACTCTCAGACGAAGAGCTTGACAGCGAGTACGAAGACATGGGTACCGCCACTGCAGAAGAGCAGGCAAACATTGCGTATCTGGAAAGTATCAGAATACCGATCAAAGATTCTCTCGTCACCGAATCAACCAAAGTAGAGGATGAGACATCAGCAATTATCCTACCATACCTCGAGGGCAACCCGAATGACTTTTCTCTTAATGCCTTCGGCATACCAAAACTCCAACGGGATAAGCACGAGGCCATGTTGAAGAGGATCATTGGTGACTACCCTGCACAAGCGGCTGCCATGGATGCTGCCCGGCCGTGGATTGTGTACTGGGCCACTCAGAGCATGACAGCATTAGGACTTGACATTTCCGATTACCAGAAAAGGTGGGTTGGCCGTTCTGATCCTATGTCCACTTATGCGCTGGACATCACAACCGATATATTGAATTCTGGCCTCTAACTATACATACAGGGTAGCGCACACCTTCTCACTAGCTCAACATCCCGATGGAGGGTTTGGAGGCGGCTATGGCCAATATGCACACCTTGCATGCACATATGCGGCGACCCTCTCCATCGCCATGGTCGGAGGCGAAGAAGCCTACAGCACCATCAACCGCAAATCGCTGTGGCACTTTCTCGGGCGCATGAAGCAAGCAGACGGAGGCTTCACCATGTGTCAAGGCGGTGAGGAAGACATCCGGGGCGCATTCTGCGCAATGGTCATCCTCTCCCTCACCAATCTGCCGCTCGAGCTCCCGCCTGACGCCCCGGCACGCCAACACGGCCTGACTAATTTCACCGACAGCCTGGGCGAATGGGTTTCCTCATGCCAATCCTGGGACGGAGGCATCTCAGCCGCCCCCGGCAACGAAGCCCACGGCGCCTACGCCTTCTGCGGCCTAGGCTGTCTGTCCATCCTCGGCCCACCAAAGCATACTCTACACAAGTATCTCGATGTCGATCTATTGACCCGCTGGCTCTCGTCGCGCCAGTGCTCGCCCGAGTGCGGGTACAACGGCCGCACAAACAAGCTCGTCGATGGCTGCTACTCCCACTGGGTCGGCGGCTGCTGGTCCATCGTCGAAGCCGCAACCACCACCGGTCTGTGGAACCGCGCTGCACTCGGCCGCTACATCCTCGCTGCCTGCCAGGAGAAGAAAGGCGGCCTCAAAGATAAGCCTGGGAAGCACTCCGATGCCTATCACACGTGTTACAACCTTGCTGGCCTCAGCGCCGCACAGTACCAGTACCTCTACGATGAGAATGTGAATAAGAATCTGGGTACGGGGAATTACGGGGCCCCGTATCATTGGAAGTCGCAGGGACGATATGCCGGGGATCAACAGGTTGTGTGGGATGAGGGCGATGTGGTCAAGCCTGTCCATCCCATCTTTGTGATTCCGTTCATGTCGGTGTATGAGATGAGGAGGCATTTTGAGGAGAAGGAGGGGTTTTGATTAGATATGGAAAATGAGCTCTCATGTTCTAAAAAAAAAATGAGAACTTGACTTTTTTTTTATGCCTAGTTATTCGGTTGCATAGTAGTCATAGCATAGGTCAAGGATATCCGGGTCTGCCCCCTCTCTTCATCCGGATGAACAACTCCAGAAACTCTTGTGAACACCCACATTCTTCGAAGAAGCGTACAACATCACCACGGGATATGAAGCAGCATGTAACAAAGCACAAGACTCGAACGACAGAAGAAAAAAAAGAAAAAACAAGAATATCTGGCTAGCACTCTTTCCATTGCCCAAGTCACTTGCATAGAAAAAATACCTAGAGAAGAAGAGAGAGAGAGAAAAAAAAAGAAGCCCCTCCCCCAAGGCATACAAAAGTCCTGCTCTACACAAAGACAGAAACTCCAAAGATACACACGTACACACACATACCCATTTAAGAACGCTTTGGCTCAACACAAGTAATACACACACATCACTTCCCTCTTCCCCATCAGAACGCCAAAAAAAAGATTAACTACTTTCTTTTTCTTTTTGCAAAAAAGGATAGGATGTACGGAATCAGCCTCCACCCTCGGCAATAGCCTTCAGCAGCCCACCAATATAATTCCTCAGCGTAAGATTATGACTAGCCGTGAAAGCAATCTGATCTCTCAACGGCGTAAACATGCGCGGGACCCATCCCGCATTCTTCGCTTCTTGCTCTTCCCTCTCTTCGTTCTCGCGTCGTTGCTCGGACGCTGCATCGTTGAGACGCGGCTTCTTGCCGCTCGTTGTGGCGCGTCTCGCAGCTTCAGGACTGCCTTCGCTAGCGCTGAATGCGCGCTTGTGGCTTGGGGAGGAGGGTAATGTGATTTCGGTGACGGAGGCTGGCGGTGGGATCTTGTTGAGCTGACGGGCGAGGTTGCGGAGGACGAGCACGGAGGACAGAGGAAGGCCGGCGGCATCGTTGGTTTCGTCAGTGGCAGTGTTGTAATACCGGAAGTTGGGGGCGGAGTGTGCGCCTGACGAGTCCTCCCTGCCCATGCCGTTTCTGCTGACGGAGCTGGTTGATGTCTGGGGTCGACCACTCATGCCTAAGCCGCCCAATCCTACTGGCTGTCCGAATTGTGGCTGGACGCTTTCGTGTCGCATCTGTGAGGAGGAAGTTATGGGCCGAGATTCTGATGGTGTCCGGTTGTGCTTTGCATGAATAGCATGCTTGATGCTTGTGTCTGGCAGATGCGTCTTCAGATGCTGTCCAGCTTCAAACGCAGATTCTGTACCATTGGGAGAGAAGCGCGTACAGCCACCCCAGTGACAAAAGTACTTGGAAGGTGGGCTTGCCGAAACCGCGTCTCCGTTTTTCATATCGATGTCCGGCTTGGGCTCAAGCAGCCACTGACCTGTCTCCTGGTCACGAGGCACTTGGAGATGCACACTAACGACGTGCTCCCACATAGATCTCGCACCGGACGCAAACTCGCCGCATTCGACATTGGCCGTGGAGTGTTTGCCATCCGTGTGGCCGTTCAACAAGCTCGGTGGATGCCAGCAGCAGCGCATATATGGCCGCTTAGTGCTCGGATCGACTGGTACGGAACGCGGTCGTATGCCTCTTATGGTATACTTTGGTTGCCCACCGACAGTCAAAACTTGAGCAGATGCACCACCAAACGTAGTTGACACGTTTGTGATGAAATCCTTTGCAGGCATGAGAGCTTTGAAAGAGGCCGGGTTAAGTGCCATGTGCTCTGAAAAGGCTGCGTTGTATGCTGACCAAAGTTGAATCTGCGTGATTTCGCCCGTAGGATCTTCTTCAAAGCACGTCTTGAGCCATTGTGAGCTTCTCTCTGGTTCATCAAGAGTGACTAGATGATCGATGATAGCGGACGACAGCTTTGGTGCGTTCTCTGGTGGCGCTGATGATTTCATTGTCTTTGGGGTTGTCCTACGCTCCTCATAAGCAATTGCACCATACTGCAGCAGTCGCACCAATTGCTTGACAACACCCTCAATATCGACTTCGTGTACAAGTGTCTCAACGTTATCTGGGAAACCAGTGAACAAGTAGAGGAAGTCTAGGCAAGCTATGCGGAGATCTTCATCTTCTACTAGCAGCCAGTCGCATATTGACTTGAGAGTCCTTGTCGGTACTTTGGAGAGCTTGTTTGTGACATCAAGGTTCATAGATATTCGTGCAAGTGCTCTCAAAGAGGTAATGATCCGACCACGGTCATCTGTGTCGATTTGCGCTAGCAGAGAACGGTAGAGCGGACTTTGAGAGTCCAGCATCCAGTATTTCGTCAACTGCTCAGTAATTTCAAGGGCGTAATGCTGCAGCTCTACTACAGACGGATGGGTGGGTAGGTTGAGGGCAATGACGATCATGTCCTGAATGGACGGTACGAGGGCGGCAAACAATGCATTTTCTTTCAGCATAACCATGTTCCGGATAATCAGTGCTGCTTCATTGATCATGTTGAGCGACTTCGCCGTTTGTTCAGGTAGGAGACTGTCATGGATGTCGAGCGTGCGGAGAGCAGAAATACGCTCAAGCAGATCGGGGGTGCCAGACAATCCATTCAGGGTCTGTGGGTTGCTGAATTCGTCTTCAAGGTAAGAAATGTCCCAGCTCACGTCGTAGAAGAGCGCGCCTACATCGATGACTTTGGCTATGAGTGCTTCCGCAAGTCCCGGGAATTGATCGAAGCGGTACTTGTCGCCTCGCTCATGGGAGATCTTGACCAAATGGTGAAGAGCGTATGCCTCCTCCTCGGGCTCCTTTGACCGTAGCGCATTGAGAGCGCGAATGTAAATGCTGGGTCCAGGAAAGCCGGTGCCGGGCAGCATCATGCCTTTGAGTGGAACTGGCCTGTTTTTCTTGTTGAGGATGTACTTCTTGCGCGATTGTACGTAGTTATCGAGGGAATTTGACGGAGTTACGACGGGTTTCATGGTGGCCGGCACAGCTGTTCGTGGCTCATAGTTCGCAATTGTCATGGCGGCTCCACTTGTTCCATATCCGTTGGCTTGCGACGAGTTCAGGTGGCCCGTGGATTGGCGAGTCTGGCGAGTCGAGGCTTCAGGCTGGAACAGCACTCGCTGGGGCGGCGCATGGCGGAGGGAGCGCGTCGAGCGCCCAAGGTTGGTGGAATCGTCGACTTCCATCTTGTCTTCTTTGGGTGTCTTCTCCATATCGTCTTCTTCGTCTGATTCCTCCTCTCCCCTTAGTCGTTCGGCTTCTCGACTACTAGGTGGGTGGAAGTTCTCTACAGTACGGTTCAGCAAGTCCCCACCCTTAGCCGATACGTTCTCGAGAATTTCAGGTGGTGGGGGTTCGCGCTTGTGGACTGTAGATATTTCGTATGCACTATTTCACATATCAGCCGGGATGAGCCGCAAGGTGAGGCGCGAGGCCTGGACATACGCAAGGTTCTTGTAGTAAACAGTCTTGACCAGAAAGGCCTGAGTTGTTATGCTAGGGCTCTTGGGAAGAAATTCCGAGGCGATTCTCCGCCACGCAAGCTTGTTATTCTTTGTATCAGAAACCTTGTCGTATCCTCCTTCCTCATTCACGCGTTTGTAGAGGCGCAAAAGGTCAATGTGTCGATTACCGATCTTCGGCTCGCGATCCAGCACAGTCCTACACGTCTAGTCAATATGTGTGCGCTGGGTGCAAGACAACAGGCAAGATGACGCACCCGCGCTTTTCGTGGTATTCGGCCAAGGTATCCAGAAACTCTTCCCGCTCTTGGGTGGGCTCGACGGAGGTTTCCTCTGTTTTGTTTGGGGCCATGTTGCGGCTGTCGCATTCACTGGAGACTACGGACGCACGGATCGGGATACATGCGTGGCTTGGGCGGTGCGACATGCGCAATGGTGGATCTGCTGGTGAATGCGCGGCGCGCGTTCGGTCGCGATGATGGATGAGCGAACACCAGAACTCCAGAATCCACCGCGTTCATCTAGCGCCAAGGTCATGTGACCATGGCCCAGTCGCAACTTCCTCGATGCATCTCACGTCTTCTCACAACCACATGCCCATGACTTGGGGTAGCATGTTACTAGAGCCGAGCTTTGATCATCAAGCCTTTCATCTAATGAACGACTAATTCATCTCCAACTAACGAATAGCTACGTACCACTAACCGCTATGCTCTCACTTCCGCTTATGAGCCTGTCCACGGCTCAAGACGCAGATGCCAAGCAGCAGAAATTTAACTGGCAGAAAGAAACACACGACCTCACTTTTGTAATCGATAGCTATGGTGGACGCGATAATGCCCAGCTCATAAAAGTGGTTCAGGGCATACAGGTTCGGGTACGAGATAAGCATGCCTGATACCTTTGTAACACGGAGCTACTGACGACATGTTTTCAACACATTCACTAATTTCTTAAACATAGCACCTTATAGAAATAGAGCGACTAGTGAAGGAAGGAGAGCAACTGGTTCGTCAAATGCAAAATCAAGGAGTGCAAATGCAGGCGGAACAGCTGCCAACCTCCGCCATTGTTCGCAACCCATTGCTTGCTATTCGATGGCGATTACCCAACCAAAAGGTACACAAAGGGCTACTTCAATTCTCGCCGCTCTGACATGGAATACAGGTTCGTCGTATCCAAATCAGATTCAAGTCCGAAGGAGACTTCGACACGGCATTCAACCGCCTTCGCCAGATCGGCCTTCATATGACCGGGCACAACACTGCACCATCCATAACGGCTCCATCTCCGAGGCCAGCACAAACATTGCCGTCGCTCTCCAGACCCGCCATGGAATTTGCCACTTCTTCTGAACGACCCATGAGTAATGCTAGCATAGGTAGCGGACTGACTTGCCCCCCGTCGCGACTAGCAGAAATCTCCAATCGACCTCACACTGCCGTCAATGGATCTACAACTTTCGAAAATCACTTAAACACAGCTACTAACGTTCGTGTGTCATCCGCTACTCCGAGCTCTGACCGAAGAGACACTCTTACTACAGCTTCTTTCTCCAGTCCTCTGAATCCACCAGTACTTTTTCCTCGGCCTCAATCGGCCACCGCTGATATCTTGAGTCGCAGTTGGAAAGATGCCTCCTCCTTCTCAGATCACTCTCGCTCCACTGTAGAAGAGCGCCCACAAGCATCTACTGAGCGCCCAGAAACTGCAATGCTTTTCAATCGCCCAGGTACTGCTGAACTGCTACCGCCGCGACGAGAACTCCCGTTCCAACGTCTATCAGAGCCACGATCATCGGGAAGCGACAGTGGTCGAACTCCTGATAGTCGGCCATCCACGGGATTGATGGGCCCTCCTGCTCTACCGCGCTCAGCTGCCCAACGACCCGGATCCAGTCGTAGCGCAAACAGCAAGGATGTTGAGCTCCCCCCTCTACCACAGCCCACTGTGATTGACAAGGTTGGCCGTGGGAAGCAGCCAATGCAGCAAGCCCCTCTTACACCGAATCAAGATCAAAGCTCATTTCAACTTACAAAGACGTCCCCAAATAACCGTTCTGGGAATGCGCCGTCACTCACAGTGTTCTCGTCTCCGGTGTCTTCTCCGCTATCATTCACGAATTCGAGTTCCCCTAATTCAGTATTGCCACATAACCAAAGTATGTCAGATGTTGAGGCGAGGAGCCCACAAGGACCAGTATCGGGACCTTTTCAGCGCCCACCCACTACGCCTGCAGTATCAGAAGCTAATGGGCGTATCTCGAACGCGTCCGTTGCCAGTGGTACTACAGTTGGAGCTAATGACGCCGAACACCTGGCGGCGTATACAATGCAACCTGACGAAGCCCGTAGAGCAGCACTCAACGAGTTCATCTTCCGCCATCTTGAGAGCGACGAGTTTCTCACGTTGGTGGAGGACATGGAAACGGCTTGGGCTCGGGTTGCTCTCGGTATGAGGTGAAGAGATATTCGTTGACAGGTTTGCGGCAACGGAAACAACAAGGATGGCGATGATAATGATATACGATGGTGATGTGTTGTGAACGATGTGGAGGGGTCAAATAACATTTTGTCCATTCGGGCGATGGGCCCACATGAAGGAGAAATAATACATGCAAGAAATACAACTTGTACATCAAAATCCCCTTTCAACCTTCTTTTTTCCCTCAATGTATCCTTCCCTCATCCCCAACAACGTACCCTCTCGCAATCCCACTCCTCCCTTCTTCCATCTTCGCCGCCCTCGCACCGCCCGTGCCTTCTTCTCCATCCTCTTCATTCTGGTAATCACTACCCAAGCCCTGCCATGTACGATTTGAACGCAAATACTCCGCACCTGGCGACGCCACACCACCCACGGCCACAATATCGCCATTCGCACGTTTCGTCAGCGCAGAACTAGCGGGAGCCGCACCATCCCCATCCGCAACAGCCTTGGCCGGATTCCTCGCTGCAGCAGATCGCATCGGCCGCGCATGCGAGACATACTGCCCAGTTCTAAGATCGAATTCTGGGGGTTGGGACTCCTCTTCTGAATCGTCCTCTGCACCATTCTTTCCTTCGTTCTCTTCCCCATCGCCTCCACCACTTGTCATCTCCTTCTCCCCTTTCTCCTGGTCCTCATCCAACACCTTTTGAAAATCCGGCTCCCAAGCCCCCGTCCACACCCTCTCCGCATCGCCCTTGAGCGCAACACCAAGCTCCCACGGCGTAATCATCGGGCGCCAGAAATCGCGACTCTCGATTAAACTGCTCTCCCAGCACCCAATCACCACCCATCCGCCTACCTCACTGAAATTCGCCACTTTGGCCGCGTTGACCTTGCCCACGACAAAAGTATAGGATTTCTTGCCTGCGGCGGCGATTTGCTGTTGCACGTGCGACAGGATGTGCATATAGTTCTTTACGGAGAGGGTGTTGATTAGGATGCCGAAGATGGGGGTTGTAGCGAGGGAGGTTATGAGGGCGTAGCGCCTGTTTAGGGTTTTCGATGTGCTGGCTAGGGATGCGGACGTGGCAGTTGAAGTGGTGGGGTAGATGTGGATTGAGGAGACGCGGGAGGAGAGGGCGAGGAGGAGAGATGTAGGGGGGTCGGAGATGTGGAATAAGGCGTAGTCGCGGAGGGCTTCGTCGCCTTTTTCTTGGACTTCTTGGGGGACGGTGCGGTTGGGGAGGGGGGAAGAGGGGTTGTGGACGATTTGTGTGGCGTAGTGGTTTATGTAGCCGTCTGAGTGGAGGCGTTGGTGCAGAGTTGGGATGTGGTGGGAGTATGGTATGTCTGCCATGAGAACTATTTTCTTGTCCTTTTCTGGGTAGGTTTCCTTGATTGTGGCGATTGTGGCGTCGATGTCGAGCGACCGCTCGGTGAAAACGTAAATGACTGGTAGTCTTGATGGCGGTGATAGGCATGAGCGGCCATAGTGCACGACTACATCTGCGTCGACGTGCTCTGCAGCCACTTCATCTACGCAGCACGCGCCGTATGAGGTATCTCCCAGTATGAATAGTTTTTCCTCGACAACGTTCCCATTATCCTGTATCTTAGCCTTGTTCATATCCGTAGCCAATTCTTCTTCAACAGTCGACCCCGTCGTGCCGTTCAGCGATTGCCCGTTCTTTTCTTGTTCGCTACTGTTCTGCTCTTTTCGCTCCTTCTTAAGTCCTCGAGCCAATTGGTCATACACTCTCGGTGCATCGCTGAGCATATGATCTGGAAACTGCAGGGCGATTCTCTTCCATTTTCCCTCTCGTATTTCCCGGACTGTGCGTTCAATCTCGTACGTGAGCGCAACCTGCTCGTCTGATAATCGAGGGAGATTCGAGGGATCTACAACCGGCGTCGGGTCTTCGAAGATGTGTGTATCGGGCGTCGAGAGTACAGGCGCACCCTCGAGCGCTGGGACGGCCATTGTGTATGTTTGTTTGGTGGTTACGTATAGTGTGGTTGGTTTGCTTAAAGAAGTGTGGTGGGGTCATGACTTTTTTCCCTTTGCTAGGTGGGATAGCGGGGCATCCATACGAACGCCACAGGCCTCAAATGCAGGGACGGACAGGGCTGCCGACAAGCCGCAAAAAAAGCTACAGTGTTGATGCATTCATTTATAATGGGGGGACCGACAGCAAGCACATTTCAGAATACAAGTCAAAAGATGATTGCTATATAATGGGAAAGAGGTATCATGATTGCTTCCGACGCTAAGAAACATGCAATGTCTAAACCATCGCAAATATGTCATCATTCTACGAGTACAAAGATAGAAAATAAAAGCCTATATCATCATGTAGGCAGAACCAGCAACTGCCAGAGCAAGAACAAAGAGGTTGGGCACAAAACTGCTCACACCGCTCCTCTGCGTGGCATTGGCTCCTGCAATGATCATCTGAGGATTGTACTGCACCGCATTGGCAACTGTGGTGCCATTCCAGCAGTATCGTTGGAAGCACTGATTGCACACGTCTGGCACAGCCTGGCCGTTGCGCTCCAAACTCCTAGAAAGAATAGCGCATCCAACGCAAGTAGGCCAGTTGTTGGCACCCTCACGTGTCGCGTTTGCCTGGGTCACAACTTCGTAACCATTTTTGATCATACCAGCTCGCTCTTCAAGGGTATACGAGAGCTTCTCAAATGTTGAGGCGTTGGACCAGAAGGAATAGGGAGCGTTGGGAAGGTACACAACGAGAGGAGGAATATTGTTACCCTGTGTGACATTCTTGCTGTTACAGCCAAAGAAGGTAGGCCGGTTATTCAGACCAAGGGCCACGAATGTATCGTGACCTGGGATGTAAGGGAAAGACGTCTTGTTCATGATTGGCGATCCCGCACGCTGGTAAGTGGCAATAAGAGCAGTGCCGTTGGGCCAATTTTTGGAAGGGTTTTGCTCTCCAACAGTGTCGGCAGACGAGTCGACAGCAAAAATGACATCAACCTGACGCACGGGCTGAATGACTGGGTTGAGAGGAATGTTCTGGAGATCTTCGCCGCCATCTACAAGCGTGAGGCGCTGGCTGGAGGCGCTAGGGTTTGTGCCGTTGTGATATTGGTAAAAAGGGTTGGGCGTATAATCTGCGATATCGTTTGAGTCGCGTCCAATCCTTTCCAGAATACGAGTGGCGAGGCTCCTGAGAACATCGGGTATATTTTGGATACTATTCAACGTGAGGAAAATCTGATTGAACAATGAACTGCTGGTTCCCATGATAAACCCGAGATTATCGAATCCGGCGACACATGCCTGGTTCTGGGGAAGCTGTCCTTGGCTGAAGTTTGAGCCAATGTACTTGAGCGGAGCGAAACCGAATGTGGTGGGATCAAAAGAGCCCATTTCAAAAGGGTTGAACTCAAAGACAGTAGCGTTGAGGGAAATGATCAAGTCTCCAGGCGCGCGCTCGTCAGCTACAAGGATAGGCATGGGCGCGTCTCCAGATGAGAACTTGGCGTCATCTTGAATAGAGGAGAAGGTATAAGCTAGAGGAGTTAGCGTAGAGCATTGGATGGTGCGCTTGCGGACATACCAGGCCCTCCATCACTTGCGTTGATGAGCTGGAACGATAGGCCACGGCCGTAAATATCGGTAATGGAGGTGTTGAATCTACCGGCTGGGGAATCGGCCTTGTCCCCGACGGTGCTGACTAGGTTGTCATAGTATTGGGCAGTTGAGAGCAATTGGATGCCCCTTGAGGGGGGGCCCGTGAAAAGCGAATTCTGGAACTGCCAGATAGGAGTGTTCTCGCCCTCTTTGGTAATAGCCTCTACCGAAGTGAAGTTGTTGGCGTAAATGCTTCCAATTAGCCATCCACCGCCAGACAGGGCTGAGACGTAGGTAGCCGACTGCAGCAAGCCACCCAGGTGACCGGCATTTGTCGAGCCCGAGGTTCGGTTGTCGAATGCTGCCAGAGCACCTGCGCCATTGAGCAAGGCACGGTATCCGCCGCCGGAGAAGGAGATTGCAATGTTTGGCAGGGCCGTGGTGTTGTCGCGATGAGTATTAAGATATTGGTTCACGTCGAATCCTTGGATGTTCGCCCTTTGTAAGAAAGCACGCATGGGTTCTATTGTGTTTGGCCTTCTCTTCCTGAGCCATTGTGTCTCAGCGTCGGAGAGCCTATCGGCGGATCGAATACTCGGGCGTGTCGAGGGACAGTTAACTTCGGCGGGAGCATAGCCATTGGGGGCTTGTGGGGTGGCACGCTTCCATGGTTCTACATGGCTGGTAGGAGGGGCGACTCTGGCATCGCGAGGACCAAGGGCAGATGCTGTACCTGCGTCAGTAGCGGTTCATGGGTTGAATTTGGGTGTGTCGCCTACAGGTCGCTAGGCTGGCTAGTGCCGAAGCAGACAGCAGAGAAGAACACCGCATCCTAGTAGTATCACGAGACACTCAGTGCCAAGGTGGTAAGGGGGTCAGTAGAATGATTGAAGTGAGCCCGCCTGGGCATGCGGCGGACGGCCATGTTAAATGTTGCAATCACACAACGGACGACCATGGCTCTTGGATCAAACGCCTGGAAGCGCAGGAAGCGCTAAGAGACTGGTCTGACCTCATCCCGTACGTTGGTCCGCATAGAGGAGCTACTTTGGTGTGGCTGGAGTCGCGGAACCCTGGCGATCTCCTATTAGCCTGCTCTATTTATGACAGACTACTCCCGAGTAGTCAACTGCAACATGCTGACAGTCGCGTGCCCGCCTTTCCAGTCGTCCGCACCGCTGTTGTTGTTGTTGTTGTCTTTTCTGCATTGCCCCTTCGATCGCCGTACCGGCTATGTCGGATACCATTCATGTCCATCAACTCTGTGCGTGCGTCAGGCACACTCGTAGCGCGTAATTTCTTGTGGAGCGCTGCCAGGGATAGGATAGGAGCCTCCCTAGCATCCGCCACACCATCATCGACATTAAACGTCTCCTTTGCCCATATTTGAGACACCATCGCCATTCCTGCGAGGTCAGCAAAATGATGCTGTGTTGCCTTCAGGCCACCATCTACTGTTATCCTTCTACGGGTATGCGGCGGGTGCTCAGCCTCATGTCTCCACAGTTAGGCATCCTGCTAATTTGCAGCCAATCTTCCTTTTGCATGGTAACGGCTATCATTGGAGCGTATAGCGGTCCTCTCCAGCGCCAATGTCAAGACACGTCGGAAACATAGCCCCCCGTATTGGAAGTCTCTGCTCCGGGCTTCCGGGGCTCCACCGTGACCACTACACCAAACGGGGACGAATAGCGGTGCGGCGGTGCGGCGGTGTTACAGCATGTGGCACTTGGACAAGGATATTCACTATGTTGTGCTACTCTTGCGCAGTAGGCTTGCGGGAATAACGGAAAATTGCGCAGACATGCATATAGTAATCGTGCGCATCAGGTATAAGATGCGAAGATGCAAAATCATACATATCTATGTAGTGTGTATACGCTACTGACGATTCGGGCCGCCCTGACATGTGACTCGCAACTGCTTTTTCCCTCCACGGCTCTCACGACATGTTACTTATGGCGATCAATTTTGAGACGACACACACATATTCATGTACTCCTAGCCATCAGTCCCCGTCTTTTTGTTCAGTGAAACAGCCATGGCTTGGCCTTAGGTGCCTTGGATCGGTCTGAAAGGGCGCTTGTAATCCCATGATCCAACGCATGCACTCTACAATTTTGACAATTCTAGGATACTCAAGCTAGAGCAACTTGCATATAGTATACCGGAATGTTGGCATCTCTTATGATAACATACTGGCGTTTGAACGATGACTTGACGTCACCTCGATTTTGCTACATATCAAACTTACCCCTGTCTCTCCAGACGTGGATAACCCTGTATGCAGACACCCGCTGTCTTCATGCGAACGCATATTGCGCCCCCAAGCTTTAAGGCTGCAAAGTAGCTATTTGCTTGTTCAACAAACAAGAAACATGATACCCGCTATGACCCGGTTTAATCCCTGCTCCTGAACAATACAATGATCGTATCTACTGCGTCCATATCAAGGTGCATTGGGCAAAGAAGCACCTGCTGCTTTTTTAGGTATCAAAAACAACATATTATAGGATTTGTGTTGTCTTGACTCGCGTTGACACAGAGCAGGATGTGAAGCTCGAACTCGAGTTCTCGTGTTCCAGACAAGCATTTGCTGTGCCACAGTGTTGCAGCTACCGATCCCCCTAACTTAACCCACCGCGATAGACAAGACCATCTGCGAATCCTACAAGACGATGCCCTACGATATCCTATCCCTGCCATAGCCCAACTACCATGCTGCCAGCTCAGTTCCAGTACCATGTGCAAGATACATAAAGAAATTTGGGTTGCGTGCCAACTTCCATATTTACAGTTTGCGCGCACCTGTAACTCCAAGCAGAAGTTGCAACGAATACCACGCGACTTGGTCTTTGACACGAGCTGCGAAAAAAAAACCAGTTCTGGGCCAAGTTTCCCAGAAGAGTCGGTTTATCATAGACAGTACGAAGATTTCTTATACAAAGGGCGGTCTGAGTTCTGCTTCGTCAACACAGAGATTCGAAGAGAAGCGTGAATGTCCACGTTGCACCTCGACTGAAGACAAGATTGTGGCGAGAAAGTGGAAGGCGTTGGATTCAAACGTGAGTTGTGCTAATAACACTAACATCATACTCGGCAAATCTCCGTTCTGGTCGACTCCCCGCATTGTACCCGGCCATTACCCCATGACATATCCACTTGTGCTTTTTTCCCACCCCGAAAACCTAAACCCCGCGAGTAGATCGCAACTACCTCCACTCCGACCCCTGTAATGCCTCTTAGTCTACGGATCACTCCTTGAACCACCGTATATGCTGGCTAAACGGCTAAATACTACCGCCTTGACCCAGATCGCAGCCTATACATCACTGTTGGAACTCGGTTGGCAGCGACATTAGCACCTTCGACCTCAAAAACATAGCAAATGTTTGTTCATTGCATGGTAACCTGTCGGGATGTCCTTCAAACCACACGCTGTATGCAGAAATCCATCATGACCTTGTCACACGTGTTGAGACGGGGATAGTGCTGGAATTGACCATCCCCATAACGGTACCCGCCTGTACTAACTAGTATTTTGCCAGTGCCCCTGCCTGGGCATTGATCTACCTATCGGTTCCTGGGGTAAACCGGTGTTCAAAGGCTTGATTTGGATAGCCTCTTGCACAGTGCCACTGCCTAGCACCGGCGCTACGGTTGATAAATTACGACACTAACGACATCCGGGTTGCCGGGGCTGTATAAGAAGGCCAAGATGCACGAGGACAATACTCCAGCTGTCGATCAAGTCTCCTCGTTGACATTCAAGATGACCGTACTAGCCACCTTTGTTGCCGCTGCTGCGGCTGGTTTGGCAGCTGTCTCTCAGGCTTCTCCAGTAGCTCCGTCAAACGCTACCGCTGGCGTGTCAAATGCGAAATCTTCTTTGACACTCGTCTATCAGAACAATCTCAATGGATCAGACGACAAGAACCACATTGGCGCTATAGTCCTTGATCCGGTTCCTCAAGCCAGTGCAGCGGCAGCTTGCGCTTCTTTGAACGAGAAGCTCATCACCCGAGCTGCTCTTGAGCAGCATCAGGACGATTTTAATGATGCCCTCTCATACCAAGACTACGCCAAATATAGCGACGCCGAGCAGGGTTATCACATCGACAACGGCGTCGTTTCAGTGGGCGATCGCGTGAGCTACTTGTCCTCTCCGGCGCCTCGCAAACAACTGCCAGTTTTGTGCACCCAATCCTTCAACAATGGCTCGCGAAACGCTGGATTTGTCGAGGGCAGCAGTGTCTCGGTAGCATCAGGAGGCAACACGTTCGTTGGGTACCGCAACCAAAAGTCGTTCCGATTCCTGGGCATCCCATATGCCGATACACCAAAGCGCTTCCAGTACTCTTCTATCTACTCTAAGAAGGGCCAGATTATTCGAGCTACCCAGCACGGGTCACAGTGTATTCAGGGCGGTGGTGGAAGTGAGGATTGTCTGTTTTTGGGTATCCAGACGCCATACATTCCTAAATCAGGATCCAAGAAAAACCTTCGACCGGTTCTTTTTTGGATTCACGGTGGAGGATTCACAGGAGGAGTCGGTTCAGATCCGCTTACCGACGGTGGAAACTTGGCGAGTAAGGAAGACCTGGTTGTTGTCAGTATCAACTACCGTCTCTCTACGCTCGGTTTCCTTGCCATTCCAGGAACTGATATCAAAGGAAACTTTGGTATCCAGGACCAACAGGTGGCACTAGAATGGGTCATTGCCAACATTGCCTCCTTCGGAGGTGATCCCAAGAGAATCACCATCGCTGGTGGCTCTGCGGGCGCCGGCTCAGTGCGTGTGCATCTAGGTTCACCAAAGGCCATTGGCAAGTTCCAAGGTGCCATTGCCATGTCCAATCTAGGAGGAGGCAAGACACTGGGCCTCGACGGTGACTATGGGACAACATACTCAACCTACCTCACTATCGAGGAAAGTTATGAGAAAGCGGGCCAGCAGATCTTTGCTGCAGCGGGCTGTAACAGTACCGACTTATCTGCTCAGATTGCGTGTCTTAAAACAGTCGATGCAGCAAAGATAGTTGGTTTCAATACGGTCGCACGCTATGTCGTTCAGGACGGAACCTACGTCGATACATCCAACCTCATCCTCACAACTCGCAACGCTAGTACGGCACACATTCCCGTCATGTTTGGAGTCACCCGCGACGACGGCGCCTCATTCACTAATTACCCCAAAACCCCCATCTCAAACCACAGCCAGGGTCTCCAAGAGGCCCTCAGCATCAACAGCACATGGGCCCAGCGCGTCATCGACTCTGGTCTTTTCCCCCTGATCAACACAGGCAACCTGACACTCGACTCATTCAATGTCTCCCAGCGTATCACCACAGACAAGATGTTCCGCTGCATTGACCAATCTACCGTGTATTCTGGCTCCCGCTCCCGCGCCTTCGAAAAAGCCTACTTCTACCAATTCGAGCGCACAATTGGCGGTTACGACCCCGATGGCCTCGGTGGGCCCGCCAACAACAACCCAGAGAATCCTTACTTTCGTATCCATGGCTCGGAAACGGACTGGGTATTCGGCACACTGCAGACGATCCGCGACTCAAAGGACTTGTGGAGTGAGCAGCTTACCACTGGATACTTTGCCTCGTTCATTCGGAGCGGCGACCCGAATCCCAGCGTGAGCTACTTGGACGTGCGGGGATACGAGAAGGAGGTTGAAGGCGCGAAGAAATTCGGCGCATGGAAAGCCGTTGATGCAACGGGTCAGAGTGGCGATGAAATACGCTTCCTAGACTGGCCGAGCAAGAGCACGGGATACCAGGATGTAGAGCAGTGCGCTTGGTTGGGATATCCCTTGGATTACTATCTCAAGGGGGGTATCTAAGTCTTTCTTGTAATTACATATATCTATATACAGTGAACTCACCAGTCCGTCCTCTTACTATAATAAAAATTACTAAACACCTTCGTCAATAAATGCTCTCCATACACACTACTCTCATACACCCTCTTGCCCCCCGTCCTCCTCACACACGTCTCCAAGGGCGCAACCTCCGCGTAGAAATTCGGCTCGTAGAAGAACGGAACACTAATCCTATACCTATCCCCCGTCCGATGAATAACCCGGTGCAGAGTACTCTTCCACAACCCATTCGTCCACCGCTCAATCATATCCCCAATGTTGACTACAAACGCGCCGGGGACAGGATCAGCATTAAGCCACGTCCCGTCTTTAAGCTGGATTTGCAGTGCATTGGGTGTATCGTCAGAGAGAAGAAGAGTAACACACCCGTAGTCTGTGTGTGCGCCACATGAAAACTGCTGTTGCTCCTCCTCCCCTTCCCCTTCCTCCCCACCCCCAGAACCAAACCCTTCAGAAGGAGGAGAAGGCAAAGGCGGATACCCAATCATTCTCACAACCCAAAACGACCCCTTACACGCCTTTTCAATAACCTCCCTCTCCCCCTCCAACTCCAACTCCAACGCCTCTCCCATCGCCCTCACCACCGCCTCCCCCACCTCCCCCACCCTCTCGATATACTCTTCGTAAACCCCCCTCAACCCTCTCGGTTCACTCGGCCACAAATTCCTCCCTTGAAGACTCTTCACGCTCCCGGGCCCCGCATCCCCCTCTTCGCGCCTCTCCTCCGGCCACTCGGCATAAAAATCCACAGCCTCCTGTAGATCCTGCAACCCGCCACCCTCATCATCCGTGCAGAGGCGCTGGTACCCGCGTGCGCCGTCGCCACCCTGCCGAGTCCCCGCATCGAGGCGCTCAATCTTGAGCTTTTCAGACAAGGGCAGGGCGAAAAACTGGCGGGCGAGGCTGATGACCGAGTCGAGTTGGGACTGGGGGATTCCGTGGCCGGTGAGGTAGAAGAAGCCGTAGGTTGTGCAGGCAGCGTTGATGGCTTGGGCTGTTTGGCGGCGCGAAGAGGCTGGGGAGGAGGGGTTGAGGAAGGGGGATATGTCGATTTTTGGGAGGATGGACGTGGGTGGTGGTGAGATGGGATTGTTTGTGCAGCGTGGGGAGGGGGAAGAGCGTGTGGGAGAGAGACTTGGGGATGTGGTCCAGGGTTTGTCGCTGTTGTGGAGTTTGTGCCGCGCTTTTTGGAGGGCGGCGTGCATGTCGGACATGGTGGGCTCTTCTTTCTTCTCTATTTTTTCTTTTTTCTTTTGAAGTTATTGCTGTTCAATGGCAGTTTGGTGGTTCAAGGGCGAGTTTGACGATAAGAAACTTTCACTAGTCTCTAGGTTGCTGGTGTTCACTTTTTACGGAGACCTTGGTTTTTTTTCAGCGTGAGGGGGTGATGTGGTGCTAGGTATCACCTGATGTCGCGATTTTTTTATGAAGCATGACAGAGGAGTGTAAGTGTTGGCAAAGTAACAAGATGCAATGTTCAAACGCCGATACCCTATCGAGTTTAGACGCGGGTAGCCCTGAACATCCTTGACATAAACTGACGATACTTGACATAGGTCATAGAAAATCATGTGCACATATTCTTTGGCCCCTGTTTTGATGGTGAGAGAATTTGGTTGAAATCTCTCATAGATTGTGGTATCTTGATTTCTCTTTTAAACGCCCCCCTAGCGGTGCTATTTTCCTAATCATTCACTACAGATCCCCGTGTTGTCATCCCTTCATTATCATTGATCAATAGCGTACCGTAAAGTCTCACATCAAATTACATGATGACCTCGTTGGAGACGTCCTGTTCAATAAATTAGTCAAGCCCTTAATATACTCATAATCATATATCTTACCCTCTTCAGCTCCTTGTATGGCAGGCAGACACAGTTCTGCACACGGACCTCATCTGCGACGGCGCAGTCCTTACCGAGGATGGTAATGCTCTGAACCTTGACACCGTTCTTGATGACGCTAGTAGTGTGGCTGGTGACGGGTGTTGGCGTACCCTCAACACGGGCCCACGCACCGACCTTGCTGTTCCAGCCAATAATGGTGTATAGCACACATGCGTCGTGCTTGATTTCAGAGTCCTCGAGCACAATGGACTCCTTCACACGTACACCAGCGCCGACGACGACACGAGCACCAATGGAGACATTGGGTCCAATCTTGGCGGTTGGGTCGATCTGAGCAGAGGGATGAATGTAGACTGGGGGCAGAATGTTGGCAGAGGGAGCAGCAAGCTCTTCTGATCCCGCCTGGAACATCTTGGCGAGGTACAGAGCATTGGCGGGAACGGCAGAGCCCGCAGTCTTGATCTGGCGCCAAAAGTCCTTTGTCTCAAGGACGAAGAACTGCCTGCTGTCGGCAATATCCGACAGCACATCCTGCTCGAGGCGAATGACGGCATTCTCCTTGCTATCGTCGTCGTCTTCGTTCTGGTAAAAGGAAGACTCGAGGTTCTCGTTGGAGGGATATGACAGCAGTCGTGGGCGCTCGGTCCGTCGCTTGATGGCGCTGCGGATGGCGGGGAAGATGCACTCGGTCGCAAAGAGGTAGATACCGCAGTTGATCAGGTTGGAAATATGCGACTCGGGCTTCTCGACGTAGTGGAGCACGCGCTTGGTGTGCGCATCCGAGACGATGCATCCAAAGTTGGAGGCGGCCTCGTTTGCGACTCTGGTGCCCAGCATGACAGCCTCGGCGTCCTTGTCCTCGAACAGCTTCAACATTTCGACGAGCGGGAATGAGGAGCAGACATCTGCGTTGAGAACAAAAAGCTTCTCGGGCTTGCCCTTTAATATGACATCACGGAAGTGGTAGAGACCTCCAGCAGTGCCCAACGCCTGGTATTCACGGAGGTACTTAACGCTCAAGTGTGGCCAGTTGGTCGACACGGCGTTGATAAAGGGCTGGAATACGGATTCCTCATAGTAGCCGACAATGAAGACTTCCTTGATATCGGGGACGTTTGTGATTGCGCGGAAGCAGTGCTCAATTATGGGGTGGCCGGCGACGGGGAAGAGCGGCTGTGGGATCATCAGCGGGGTGCGGCCGACGGAGGCAGAGGGGTATGCATACCTTGGGCAGTTCCATGGACAGCGGCCTGAAGCGGGTACCGCGAGAGGGCCCTCCGACCTGCGCGTGTGAGTATACATGGCCGTTGGACTCTTGCGGCGGGTGCTCTATACCAGAATGACGGCCTTTGTGGAGCCGCCAGAGGGCGACTTGGACCTCATGGCGAGGGACGGCGGCTGTAGACTCATCTTGGCGCGGGCTTCAGTGTGTGCGGGGGTGGATGGGGAGAGAAAAAGAAAGAGAGAGTTGTGCACAGAGTTCAGAGGCACAAAAAGGTGTGGTGCGGGAGCAATTGAGAATCTGGCCTCGTCCCAGGAACCAGCTGGTGGACCCTGACAAGATGCCGCCCACGTTGGCGGTGAGCTGGCCGGGCGAATCACTGACGCGCCGCCTCGTGTCAGGTGCATCTCTACTGCACCCCTTTCTTCTCTACATGGCTATTCTTAGCTTCACCACATATTCTGCTCGACGTGTTGCCATTGATACGAATGCATTGCTTGCTCTAGTCGGCTTTGCTGCACGGCGCTACCATCGCCAGCCTAACACGATCACGCTACACAATAATCTTTTTGCCTGTGCTTGATAGAGTAATGCTATACGATCCACGTGCATACCACTCGGCTTGCCAAACCCAATCCCTCACTTTGCTGCTCCCAATGCCAGCTTCCTGTTCTTCTTGATCAGTGCTGACAGCTTCTTCTCCAGAACATCGTGCTCCTTTCTCGCTGCCTGCATTGCCTGTTCCGCCTCTTCCATGGTCAACACGCTGCCTCTTCCTCTTCTTGCGTTACCACTGTATCCACCCATGCCCGCTGTCGTCTCAATAGCATTCATCAGCCCCTGCATATCCAGGCCGCCCGCGCCTTGCCCAAGCATAATGTTACCGTTGCTGTCAAGACCCACTTCTTGCGTCGACTGGTAGCCAAGGCCGGCTCCTACAAGTGCTTCAAGACCTTGTACAAAGACGCCTCCCAGCTTGTCAGCAGCCATGAATCCCATGCCATCAATCTCGGTGCTTCCCACTGCACCCCCTTCAACAACTGCCTTTGCTGCCTTGGCAAACCTATTTGCATTGACAGACATGTTTGCCGTTCCTGCACCAGGCGGTCCGCCGACTGCAGCCATTTCAGGGCGTGGCTGGTTCGGTGGCGGGTTGTCGGTGCGGGGAAGCACGTATTGGTTCAAATAACCGCCGGCATCTGCTGGTGTTTGTTGTTGCTGTGACACTGGAGCCTGTGTAACTGATGCATCCTGTCCCTGTACTGGGGGCAAAGGAAGGTTCGTTGAGCCCAATAGTCCAGAGGGAACATCAAGCCTCGGCATCTGTTGTCCGCCATTAGTGTTTAGCTTCTTGCCTGCTTCCTTGAGTGCTGTCGCAATGGCCGGCAGGACATCGTTCGTCTGCGTGCCCAGACCATGGCTGTGTGCTGCTTGTTTTCGAGCATGGAAACGGCCAGGGCCCTTGAGCTCGTCAATCCGCTTTTCAAGCTCAAGTGCCTTTGTCTCCAGCTCTTCACTGAGTCCCCAGAAAAACTTTCCGCCTGGCGTGATCAGAGTCCTTGATTCAGACTTTCCATCTTGACTGTTGAGGCGCAGAGGTTTCTTCTTAGCCAATGTTTCCAAGTCCGCCTCGGAAAAGTGTAGTTTCAAGTCCGGAGGCGCAACCGCACCGCCCATTTGAGTGTTGCGAGTTGTGTGAGTGAGCGATGACGATAGCGGCTTGAAGAATTCAAGATTAGACGCAATTAATTCCCCGGTGCGTTGTAGATCGGTCATGATGGACTGTGCAGTATGCTCGCGCTTTTCCTTTGACTCTTCACGTTCCGGCTCTGGTTCGGGCGTAGCTGCAGCAGAAACCTTTGCTGAGGGGGCCTTATGAGCCGTGGCTGTTGGCACTTCAGCATGCTCATCCTCAACCGTAGCAGGCTTGGGCGAAGCTGGTTGACTCTTGGCTGCGGCTGCGGCTGCGGCTGCTACTGCTACAGGCTTCGAGTTGGTTGATGTTTTCTTTGCTTTCTTCTTGCGACCAATGATAGGAGCTTGCACGACCTCAACATCTGATTTATTATCTTCGAGCTGCTCCTCTTCTATCTGCTTTTTGCGTTCTTGTCGATCTTTCTTGGCTTGTGACTTGGTCTTCTTCCTCACAGGTGCGGTACCGACCTTTCCAACCACGGGAGGAGGCGAGCTAGCCCGAGAGAAAGATGTAGACGTGATCGAAGCAGTGTCTGATATCAGTTCGCTTGCAGGAGTTCCTGGTTGGTTCACCGAGGCGATGCTCGCCTGCCTAGATCGAAGTTTATCAACAGTCGGAATATGCGGGAGAGGCGGTGCTGTGGTCGCAGACAAGGGTGGTGGGACTTCAGTCTTTGGTGTTGCAACAACACGAAGAGTCCTCGGTGGTCCCGCACGCTTAATTGGAGATCCTGTTCCCACGGCAGCAGGACTTGGAGGCACCGAGCCGGCTGCTGTAACCGATACCGAACGATCATGCTTCGCCTGAGAATCTGCTTTGCCTGGTCCTGCAGCTAGAGATCCCTCGTCCTTTGGTAATTTAGTCGCCGCTACAATATCGAGCTTGCCTGGAGGCTGTCGTTTCGTAGAAGACGTAGGGGTCGCAGCAGCAACTGGAGTCTGTATGGGTTCTTTCGGCGGCTCTTTCTTGGGAGTTGTCTGTGCTTGACCTTGGTTCTTTTTAGAAGTGCTCTTTGCTTTGGGCACGTCCTTTGTAGCTGCCTCTGATATGGACTTTCTTGTTTCGGGCGCAGTTTTGGATGTCTCAGCTTCACCCTTGACTCTCCTAGAGGCTTCTCTCGGTGTAGGCTCCTTGGGGGTTTGTGGGAAGACAACAGCTTCCTTGGGTGTCGGAACCTTGGAGGGTGTCGTGGGTTGAGTATTGGTTGCAGGAGTTGCCGCATGGGTTGCGGTAGGTGTTGCCGGCTCTGCAGAATCGCCCTTTTGCCTACTTTTGCCAGCCTTACTGGGCGTTGATGTTCGTATCGGTGTAACAGGCGTAACAGGCATGACAGGCACAGCCGGTGTAATGCTTGAAGATGCAGTCCTAGACATTGGCCGAGATGCAGGCCGAGCACGAGACTCCTCAATGACAGTTTTTGGAATAGCCGGAGCTGTGAAACCAGGTGGA